TGAACTCCATGAGCTCAGGCCAATTCTTGGTTGTGGATCACTGCATCTTCTTTGATCAGTTAATGTAGATTCTATGATGGGAGTTAGGGTGGTTACTAATCTGATTACAGGGAACGGCCAGTTAAGGCTTCCTTTCCACTATTCCTAGGAGTCTTAGCTGGAGTCATCCTTATTAATCCCTGGGAGTTTCCCTAGCACCAGATTTCTCTCTAAACCTGTAATGGTTCATGATATTTCATTCATTCTTCTCCCTCTCTGTCCCTCCCACAACTTTGTCATTTTGATCTCTTATGTTTCCGTCCTCCATCTCCTGCTTCTACCCCTGCCTAGTTTACCCAGTAGATCTTAACTATTTCCCTTTCCTGGGGTCCTCCTTTTGTATCTCTCTTAGTGTCCTCCTTTCTACTTAGTTTCTCTTGGACTGTGGATTGCATTTGTTTATCCTTTGCTTTACTTCTAATATCTGCTTATGAGTGAGTACAAACCACGCATGTCTTTCTAGGTCGGGGTTACTTTACTCAGGATGTTTTTCTTTCTTTTTCTAGTTCCATCCATTTGCCTGCAAATATCAAGTTGTCAGTTTTTTTACTGCAACTTAATATTTTATTTTGCCATCCCATCACATCTTCTTTATCCATTTTTTTTTTGGTTGAGGGACATTTAGGTTGTTTCCGGGTTCTGATTATTACAAATAATGTCACTATGAACACAGTTGAGCAAATGCCCTTGTGTTATGAGTGCGCTTCTTTTGTGTATATTCCCACAAATGGTACTACTGGATCTTTTTTTTTTTTTTTTGATTTTTTGAGACAGGGTTTCTCTGTAGTTTTTGGTGCCTGTCCTGGAACTAACTCTTGTAGACCAGGCTGGCCTCGAACTCACAGAGATCCGCCTGCCTCTGCCTCCCGAGTGCTGGGATTAAAGGCGTGCGCCACCACCGCCCGGCGGTACTACTGGATCTTGAGGCAGATTGATTCCCAATTTTATGAGAAACCGACATACTGATATACATGTATGCAAGTTTTTACTCCCACCAGCAATGGAGGAATGCTCTCCTTACTCCATATCCTCTACAGCATAAACTGTCATCTATGTTTTTATTTTTAACCATTTTGACAGGTGTAAGATGAAATTTCAGAGTTTTTTTATTTGAATTTCACTGATTGCTAAGAATGACGAACAATTGCTTAAGTATCTTTCAGCAATTTGAGATTTTTTATTTGATAATTTTCTGCTTAGATTTGCATTCTACTTTTTAATTGGATTACTTGATACTTTGATGACTAGTCCCTTGAGTTCTTATAACTTTTTGGAGATTAGTCCTTTGTCTTAATGAATTAACCTATTTACCATCAGCTAAAAATACCCTTATGGAATTTACTTTGTGAATACAAAGGTAGTTTACAGGAATTTTTCCTATCTGAACTGACAATGCTACCACAATGATTCAAAGACCATCTAATAAAAACCCCAATAACAACAGGAGAAGCCCTACATTATGTCATTTGTGAGAGTCATTCAAGAGACTCACAAAACATTATTGGATATGGCTATTGTGCTTGGTTGCTCAACAGAGGTGGTAGTAAGTCCTTATTGTTGAGAAAACCATGCACTCTGACAGGGTTCAGAAGTCCCTAAGCTGTAACTGATGTGAAAGCATCATCATGGCAGATTAGCTTTTTTACTGCCATAAGGTACCTTGCAAACTTCCAAAGGATGGAAACAATGCAAGTTCTATACAAGTATTATACCTATGAATGATAATAGTGACCAACATGTCACAATATCTCTGGAGGCACAACAGTGACATACATACTTTGTAGATATGCACTAAACAAGAGGAAAATCATTCCTGATACAGAAATCCTACCCACCTCCATACGCCTGAAGCAGTCATGGATCTTGGAGGTCAACCTGGAAATATACTTTACTAAGCAAGAATTATCCGAACATTATCATAAATAATGGTTCATATATCCACAAGTAAGTGTAGTTCTTGTTTTCATCATGTAAACACCACTTTGCAGCAGATGGATACCAGTATATGAAACCACAATCAATCAAATGGAGGGAATGAATAAATCTCTAAAAGAATGACCCCCCCCCAAAAAAAAAACAAGAGAAAAACTAACAAGGAAACTCTTCAAGATCTAAAAATAGAAATAAATATAATAAAGAAAACACAAAGTATGGAAATTCTAGGAATGGATTATCTGGAAAATCAAACAGATGCAATCACCAGCAACAGAATTTGAGAGTTGGAAAGAGAAATATCAGGGATTGAAGAGACAATAGAAGAAACAGATAGATCAGTAAAAGAAAATGCAAACTCTAAATATCCCTAGCACAAAAACCCAAGAAATTCAGGGAGGCTATAAAAAGACCAATCCTAAGAATAATAGAAATAGAAGAAGAAGAATCCCAGCTCAAAGATTCAGAGAATATATTTAACAAAATCATAGAAGAAAAAAATTCCAACTTAAAGAAGGACCTGCCTATGTATGTACAAGAAGTACATAGAACACTAAGTAGATTGGATCAGAAAAGTAAATCAATATTGAGCATAAAAACTCAAAACTAAAAAAACAGAAAGAAAAAAAATATTAAAATACTACAAGGGGAAAAGGTTAAGTAACATAGAAAGTAAGATCTATGAGAGTTAGAGACCCCAAAAGTCAGAAAGGTGTGGATTGATTTCTTGCATACTCTAAGAGACCATGGATGCTACCTCAGATTACTGTCCCTAGAAGAACTGTCAATCACAACAGATGGAGAAAACAAGATTATTTCATGACAAAGTCAAATTTAACAATGTCTAATCACAAATACAGCACTAAAGAAGGCAAAAGAAGAGAAACTGCAATCCAAGAAAGTTAGTAACATAAAAAAGACAAAGAGAGTAGATAATCTCATACCAGCAAAACTCAAATTGACACACACACACACACACACACACACACACACACACCTTACTGCCACTACTACTATCACCAAAAGAACAATAAAATAAAGAGTCACTGTTCATTAATAGTTCTCAGTATCAATAGACTCAATTTTTCAACAAAAAGACACAGGTTAAAAGAATGGTTGTGAAAAGAGGATCCATCCTTCTGCTGTGTACAAGAAACACACCTCAAACTCAAAGACAAACATTGTGTTACACAAAGGGTTGGATAAAGATTATCCAATCAAATGGATCTAAGAAGAAATCTGGTATAGCTATCATAATACCAAATAGTCTTCTAACCAAAAATATTCAAAGGATGTGGAAAGGATTCGTCATAGTCATGAAAGGAAAAAAAATCCACCAGGATGTTTTTCCTTTCTTTCTTTCTTTCTTTCTTTCTTTCTTTCTTTCTTTCTTTCTTTCTTTCTTTCTTTCATTCTTTCTTTCTTTTTTTTTTCTGAGACAGGGTTTCTCTGTAGCTTTGGAGCCAGTCCTGAATCTAGCTCTTGTAGATCAGGCTGGCCTCAAATTCACAGAGATCCGCCTGCCTCTGCCTCTGGAGTGCTGGAATTAAAGACATGAGTCACCACCACCCAGCACAGAATGTTTTCTCAATTGTGACCATCTATACACTAAATGAAAGGGCACCCACATTTGTGAAAAAACAGGGTTCTACTGTCCATTCATGATGCCCTGTCAAAGTTTATTGAAATCCCTGACACTGGAGATATCTCAGTTGTGTCCTTTTCTCTTTTAACACAAAAAGTTCTTCTCCAAGTTGTCCCCCTCCATAGTGATCCTCAACTATTCAGTTTACTTTTCCTTCACTGTCACAATTTCAGCAGAAGACGTGATTGCACGTAATTAATTGCATGCATTACCTTTCTAATTCTGACTTTTACATTATAGACTCAGTTTACTCTTGGTGTTTTCCTCACTTTTCCCAAGAGGAACTCATTATCTTTATCACAAAGATGGATAATATGCCAGAAAGGGGAAAATATATACTATAATGGTTTTTAATTCAGAAAATATAAAATTGCACTAAACTGACAATTTATTATGAAGAAATTGGATGAGTGAGTAATCCATCTCTCTGAGGTAATCACTGTTTTCATTCTGTTAGTAAAATGAATCAGAAGATAAGTAAAAGTTTACTCATTTATTTGACCCATCTGTTTCCATTCTCACTGCCGTTCAATATACGCTCAAATGTGATTCACTTTGTATTTAATCAATACTTGGTTTTCTGACCTGAACTTAGACAATCTATATCTATTCAGTTTTTTTGAGATAAGGTTTCTCTGCATAGGAAATTAATCTGAAAACCATGCAAGGCTTGAAATCAAAGAAATCCACCTTTCTCTGCCTCCTAAGTGCTGAGATTAAAGGCTTGAGCCATACTATCCAGTGATAAAACTATTATTAATACAGTATTTGAGGTTATATATGAGTCTTCCCTGAGATTGTGTGTCACTTTTCACTATGACAATAGCATGCTCCTCAGAGATTAACAGATGGATAGTATGAAATGGAGGAACTCTATTACACTTGCATGTCTACTATATGAAGGTTTTAGCATTTCCTTGTACACTAGGTTTCCCTTAACAATACATTATAGATCTTGGTTAAGTCTTCTACAGAGTTATATAATACAGGATTTGCCCTCATTAACATATGACCTTATTAACAGAATAATCACTTGAATTCAGTACTGTTATTTTGCTTAGCAATGGTGGACAAAATCTCAGGGAGATAAAAACATCATTCTTATGCCTTAATGAAATAAAAAAGAGTCAAAAAGGGTCGACTTAACCAAACAACCCCTTGAAACAGTGGCTTCATGCAAGTGTGCTGCTTCTCATGTGAAATTTTGCACTACAGAGAATTAGGGATGTCATAAAGGAGGGAAAACATGAAAATATATAAATGACTCATGGTCACAGATGATGCAAAACACATCACACATGTAAGAAGTCTGTGACATAAATGTCAGTAATATTGCCCTCAGAAATTCCTGTTTTGAACCTTTCGTACTCCATGGATCAACCCTATATGTGTAAAAAGCTCAGCCACCCATATGAGGGAGGAGAAAGTAGAATCTTGCACTGAACCTAGAGGAAATTATGATGTGGCAATCCCAATAGCAGTACTTTGGCAGGAGACATAAAATAGCAATAGTCTTTTTCTCAAGTGAATTTACAGCTGGTGCTCCAAGGAGTTTTTGTCTTACTTCCCCATGATTCTCATCACTGTGTCTATTGCTACTACCATCAGAAGACTGGCAGTAGTAGTCAGCCTCATCCTCAATCTTCAGATCAGTGATTGTCAGTGAGGCTGAGTTGGAGGAGCTGTCAGTGGAGCCAGAGAACCGATCAGGAATCCCAGATGGTCTTTTATTGTATTCATAGATAACATTGGTGGGTGGACTTCCAAAGTGCTGCTGGTACCAGTGCACATAGTAGCTTCCAATGTTACCACTGCTGCGCTTGCAGGTGATGGTGACTGTGCTCCCAAGAGATCCAGACACAGAGTTTGGCTGATTTAGCACAAACTGGGTACATGTCCCTGTAAAAGGAAGATAATAAAAATCAGTAAACGCAAGGGAATCTCATTCACAAGGAACAATCTAAGCCAAACATTCCAAGCAACATTTACTCTCCCAGAATTATTTAAGTCCACTGACCTGTTAAATGATGAAGGAAAATGAGGAGTAGTGCAGTCCAAGTCATGGTGAAGATACCCAGACTCTTTTTTTCTGAGTTCAATAGTCTGACTAAGGCTGGGAGCCCCTTTTTATTGGGCTCTGTGATTCTATGTGCAGGCTGGCTCCATGCAAATACCCATCTTCCTTGGGATGTACAGGCCCCTCCTTTTACTTCAGATTGGGTGTCACAGAGAAGTGGAAAGACTAAACATGCAGAGGACGTGAGCTCCACCAAGTGGCAGGATAGAAAAACCTGAAAGTGAAGGGAAAGTACCAGGAACTATAAAAACTACACTCCTAATGTAACCAATAAAAAAGGAAATATGAAAGAGAGTTATGAGTTCATTACTTATGTAGGCATGGGATCAAAGAATAGGAAGTAGATCACAGAAGAGCTCTTGGGGAATATTCTTTAATGGCATCACTATGTGTGCAAGTGTGGGAGGGAAGTAGTGATTTCTGAATGACTTGGTCTTGCTGAGAGCAATGTCCTATCCAGATCAGCCCATCACTGTCCTCTAATGGTCATAAACACGTCCATGCAAAGTATGTGTAGATGAAACTCCATTTTCCAGGGAAGGTATTGAAGTAAGGTTAAAGGAACGTGCTTAGACAAGAAAATTAAAGGCAGGCTTCCTGAGACTGTCATGCCTTCTTCCTAGTAAAGTCTTCAAAGGGAAACAGCTAGAAATCACAGGGTTAGGCATCAACACAGAAGCAGTATGAGAATAGGGACACTCAGGAGCACTGTAAATCACCAAAGCCAGAATCTTTTCAACAGACATTTTGTCCTCTTTAATTCTAAATGCATAAATCTGGATAGGGAAAATAACCAACCAAAGGGAATGGGCTCCAAAATGCCAGTTCATGCACCTGGAATAATTTATGGTACTACTGATAAGACACCCCTTCCCCCATAACAGATTAAGCCATGATACCAGAGCCACATTCAGAAGGCCTAGTGTGGTCCCATAAAGGTTCCCCAGGTGTCATCCCAGAGTCCCTGAAGTACCTCTAGCACTGGTCAGCTGTCTCTGTGTGTTTCCTGAACTCCAGGAGCTCAGTCCAGTGCTTGGCTGTGGAACACTGCATCTTCTTTGATCAGGTAGTTAATGTAGAATCTATGATGGGAGTTAGGGTGGTTACTAATCCGATTACAGGGAAAGACCAGTTAAGGCATCCTTTCCACTATTACTTGAAGACTTAGCTGGAGTCATCCTTGTGAATCCCTTGAAGTTTCCCTAGCACCAGATTTCTCTCTAAACCTGTAATGGCTCATGATATCTTATTCATTCATGTCCCTCTCTGTCCCTCCCACAACTTGGTCATTTTGATCTCTTGTGTTCCCATCCCTCTTCTCCTGCCTTCTACCCTTGCCTAGTTTACCCAGTAGATCTTAACTATTTCTCCTTCTTGGGGCCCTCCCTTTGTTTTGCTCTTAGTGCCCTCCTTTTTACCTACCTTCTCTGGGGCTGTGGATTGCAATTGGGTTATCCGTTGTTTTACTTCTAATATCTATTTATAAGTGAGTACATACTATGTATATCTTTTTAGGTCAGGGTTATTTCACTCAAGATATTTTACTTTTTTTTAGTTCCATCCATTTGCCTGCAAATTTCAAGATGTCATTGTCTTTACTTCCACTTAATATTCCATTGTGCCATCATACCACATTTTCTTTATCCATTCTTTGGATTAGGGACATTTAGGTTGTTTCCAGTTTCTGCCTCTTACAAATAATGCCACTTTGAACATAGTTGAGCAAATGTCTTTTTGTTATGAGTGTGCTTCCTTTGGGCATATGCCCACAACTGGTATTGTTGGACCTCGAGATAGAATGACTCCCAATTTTCTGAGAAAATGACATACTGAATTCCATAGCTTACAAGTTTTTACTCCCACCAGAAATGGAGGAATGCTCTCCATATTCTCTCCAGCATAAACTGTCATCCATGTTTTTATTCTTAGCCATTTTGACAGGTGTAAGATATTTCAGAGGGTTTTTTTTTTCACTTGAATTTCACTGATGGCTAAGAATGTTGAACAATTGATTACATGTCTTTCAGCAATTTGAGATTCTTCTGTTGAGTATTCTCTGCTTAGATCTGTATTCTACCTTTTAATTAGGATTAGTTGGTACTTTGATGACTGTTGTCTTGAGTTCTTATATTTTTTGGAGATTAGTCCTTTGTCTTAATGAATTAACCTATTTACTATCTGCTAAAAATACTCATATAAAATTAAATTAGTGAATAATTATACAATTGTAGTTATTTTTGTATAATATAACTGAACTGGCAATGCTACCACAAAGATCCAAAGAACATCTAATAAAAACTTCAATAACAACATGAGAAGCTCTACATTATGTCATTGGTGAGAGTCATCCAAGAGACTCACAAAACATTATTGAAAATTGTTATTGCCTTTGGTAGCCCAACAGAGGTGGAAGTCTTTATTGTTGAGGAAACCATACACTCAGACAGGGTTTAGAAATCCCTAATCTGTAACTGATGTGAAATCATCACCATGGCAGATTAGCTTTTTTGCTGCCAGAGGTACCTTGCAAACTTCCAAAGGATGGAAACAATGCATAGTTGTATACAAGTATTACACCTATGAATGATAATAGTGACCAACATGTCACAATAACTCTAGAGGCACAGTAGTGGGATACATACTTTGTAGGTAAGCAGTAAATAAGTGGGAAATCATTCCTGATAGAGAAAATATAGCCACCGATATAGGCCTAAAGAAGTCATGGTTCTTGGAGGAGAACCTAGAAATATACTTTATTAAGCAAGAATTACTCCTAATGTTTTCATAAATATTAGTTCTTGTATCCACATTTAAGTGTAGTTCTTGTAAACATCATTGGAGCACCACTTTGCAGCAGATTGATACCACTATAGAAAACCACAATCAATCAAATGGTGGAAATCAATCAATCTCTTAAAGAATTACTCACCCACCCCCAAAAAGAGAAATATTAACAGGTTAAAGAAAGTCTTCAAGATCTGAAAATAGAAATAAAAGGAATAAAAAAAACACAAAGTGAGGAAATTCTAGGATTGGAATATCTGGAAAATCAAACAGATGCAATCACCAGCAACAGAATTTAAGAGCTGGAATAAAAATCTCCAGAATTGAAGATACAGTAGAAGATACAGAGTGATGAGTATAAAATAAATGCAAAATCTAAAACATCCTAGCACAAAAAAAAATATCCCAAGAAATTCAGGGAGACTATGAAAAGACCAAGCCTAAGAATCATAGAAATAGAAGAAGAAAAATCCCAGCTCAGAACCTCATAGAACATATTAACAAAATCATAGAAGAAAAAAATTCCAACTTAAAGAAGAACCTGCCTATGTAGGAACAAGAAGTTTATAGAACACCAAATAGATTGGATCAGAAAAGAAAATCACTATTCAACATGAATACTCAAAACTAAACACACAGAAAGAAGAAAGACTATTAAAAGTACAAGGGAAAATGTTAATTAATATATAAAGTCAGATCTATGCAAATCAGAGACCCCAAAAGTCTGAAGGGCCTGGATTGATTTCTTGCATACTCTAAGAGACCACAGATGCTAACCCAGACTACTGTACCTAGAAGAACTGTTCATCACAACAGATGGAGAAAAGAAGATATTTCATGACAAAGTCAAATTTAACCTAAAGTCTAACCAGAAATACAGCACTACAGAAGGTATAAGAAGAGAAACTTCTATCCAAAAAAGTTAATAACATAAAAAAATCATAGAGAGTAGATAATCTCATACCAGCAAAACTCAACAAAGGGACAAACACACACACACACACACACACACACACACACACACACACACACATACACACACACAGACACTCTCACATATACATTACTACCACTACTACTACCAGTAATAAAACAAGAAAATTAAGAATCACCATTCATTAATAGTTCTCAATATCAATAGACTCAATTTGCCCACAAAAAGACACAGGCTAACAGAATGGATATGAAAACAAGATCCACAATTCTGATGTGTAAAAGAAACACACATAAAACTCAAAGACAGACATTGCATTACACAAAGAGTTGGATAAAGATTTTCCAGTCAAATGGATCTATGATAAAAGCTGGTATAGCTATCATAATATCAAGCAAAATAGTCTTCTTACTGAAGTAATTCAAAGGATGTGGAAAGTATAACTCCTAGTCATGAAAGAAATAACCACCAAGATGTTGTCTCAATCCTGAACATCTGTAAACTAAGTGAAAGGGCACCCACATTTGTGAAAGAAACAGGATTCTACTGTCCATTCATAATGCCCTGTGAAAGTTCATTGAAATCCCTGACACAGAAGATATCTTAGTTGTGTCCTTTTCTCTTTTAACAGTTTTTTTCCAAGTTATTCCCCTCCATGCTGATTCTCAACTGATCTGTTTACTTTTTCTTCACTGTCACAGTTTCAGCAGAAGACATGTTTCCACATAATTAATTACATGCGCTACATGAGGGGGGTCTGCTTTTTGGGGTTTCTGTCCCACCCGGTACCCCACAACCAGCAAGCCCCAGAGAAAATCACACAGAAGACTCCATAAGATTATAAACTGATTGGCCCATTAGCTCAGGCTACTTATTAGCTCTTACAACTTATGTTAGCCCATTATTTTTATCTATGTTAGCCACAGGGCTCAGTACCTTTCTCAGTGCGGTCGCTTACATATTGCCTCTATGGTGGTCTGAGCAGAACTGGTGAGGACTGGGCTTCCTCCTTCCCAACATTCTCCTGTTCTACTTCCTATCTGGTTTACCTGCCTATATTCCCTGCCTGACCAATCAGCGTTTTATTAAAATACATGATTGACAGAATACAGATAATTTTCCCACACCACTTCCCTTTCCATTTTTTTAAACAAAGAAAAATATCTATAGTCCATTTTTTGGGAATGTGGGTGTAGTTTTTCAGGCTACTTCCTGCTAGTTGGGGGCGCTGATAATCTTTTGGGACCTAAAGAAAATTTAGAGTTATAATCAAGTCCTGACTGGAGTATCCGGTGAGTCTTGATCATCTCAGACAGCTGTCTTGAATCTTTTCTGGATGTTGAACTCAGACATTCAGGCCATCTGTTCCTACTGGAGATATCTCAGGTGGTCTTCCTTAATCAAACATGATTTTTCTTAACTCATAATGAATCCATAGTCTCTCGTTTCCTGTGGAAAAAAAGCAAAATCTCTTCTCCAAAGTAACATACCTTTTAACTTCAATTTTGAAGCCAAAGTATTTTCAAAATACCTATCTTGGATTAATTCAGCCGCATTTATAAGCAAATATCTTTTAGCAGCTGTTGCTCCTTCCTCAGCATTCAAACAATTCAAAGAGAGCATAATAACATACAGTATCAAGATTCTCTGTGTATTTTCCATCTTTATGTGGCTTTATTTTAACCTCTATTTCTTTTATTTTTACTTTTACTTTTAGAGACAGATTCTCTGTATATTTTTGTCCTAGAACAACTCTGTAGACCAGGTTGTCCTTGAACTCACAGAGATCTGTCTGTTTCTGTCTCCCAGGTTATGGAATTAAAGGTGTGTGCTACCACACCTTGAAGTCACAGAGGTCAATTTACCTCTGCCTCCCAAGTGTTGGGATTTAAAGGTGTGTACCACCACACCCAACTACTCTCTTTCTTTCTCTATTTTTTTTACATTAAGAGCATTTTTAGCCTCCATATAATTTTAACACACTGTAAACCATTTAAAGTTTTTTTCTTTGAATCTTTCTTTATTGTATGTCTCTCTTTTTTCTGACTACATGAGTCTTTAAGGAGAGGATTAAAGCTGACTTTCAAGGCTAGATCCAGCCCATTCCTTAGCTTCCAGACTCATGGCAGAGGTACCACTGGAGCCATTTTTGTTGCCACAACTCTGTGGCGTTTCAAGATTCCTGCCAGCAAACAAGCTACAGTATTCTGCTCACAGACCACACTCAAGTAGTTGGACTGCCTGCCTGAAAGAGTCAGAGTTTGCCCTGGCAGGACAGCCCAAAAAGCTGGCATTTCAAAACAGAGGAGCTTTTTTTCTGCTATGGCTGAAAACCGAAAAGCATGTGTTCAGCTTTTCATCAACACCATTTAAGTGTTTCGTGGCAGGACCTCTTAAAGAGCTATATGGTTTTGCAGCTAAAGCTGAGTCAGGAAGCCTCTCTTAGATGAGAGCTCTTGCTTGCCTCTAGCAGGCAGAGCAGATTTGGGAAATTGCTGCTACCAAGAAAACATGCTTTACTCTATTCTTTCCCAAGCTTTCTCAGGTTTTCTGTGGATGCAGTTATCCACATGGGCACCATTTGTTACATGAAGGGGCCGGCTTGTTCGTTTCCTGGGTGCCCAGCTATATTAGACTCGAATTAACCACACAGATACTGCATTAATTACATGCTTTACCTTTCTAATTCCAACCTTTACATTATTGCCAGAGTTTACTCCTAGTGTTTTCCTCACTCTTCCCATGAGGAACTCATTGTCTTTATCAGCGAGAGGGGAAAGATGTTAGAAAGGGGAAAATATATACTATAATGATTTATAACTCAGAAAATAGAAATTTTCATTAAACTGAAAAAAATGTTATGAAGAAATTGGGTGAGTGAGTAATCTATCTCTCTGTGGTAATCACTCTTTTCATTCTGTTAGTAAAATAAATCAGAAGATATGTAAAAGTTTACTAAATTATTTGACCAATCTGTTTCTCTTCTCACTGTCATCCAATATATGCTCAAATGTGATGCATGTTGTATTTAATCAATACTTGGTTTTCTGACTTGAACTTAGACAATTTATATCTTTCAGATTTTTGAGACAAGGTTTCTCTGCATAGGAACTTAATCTGAAGACCATGCAAGCATTGAACTCAGAGAAATCCACCTCCCTCTGCTTCCCATGTGATGGGATTAGAGGCTTTAGCCATACTACCCAGTGATAGAACTCTTATTAATAAAGCATTTGAAGTTACATTGGCTCTTCACTGAGATTGCTTTGTCACTTTTCACAAGTCAATATTATGTTCTTCAGAGCTTTTCAGATGGATAGCATGACATGGAAGAACTCTGTTACACTTGCATGTCTACTATATGAAGATTTTCGCATTTACATGTATACTAGGTCTTCCCTTAAAAGTACATTATAGATCTTGGTTAAGTCTTCTACAGATTTATATAATACAGGATTTGTCCTCATTAACATATGACCTTATTATCAGAATAATCACTTGAATTCAGTATTGTTATTTTGCTTAGTAATTGCGGACAAAATCTCCAGGAGATAAAATCCTCATTCTTATTCCTTAATGAAATAAGAAGGCATCAAAACAAGGGTTTACTTAACTGAACAACCTCTTGAAACGGTGGCTTCACCCAAGTGTCACATTTCCCATGTGAAATTTTGCACTACAGAGAGTTAGTGATGTCATAAAGAAGGGAAAATATTAAAATACACAAGTGACTCATGGTCACAGATGATGCTAAACACATCACACATGTAAGAAGTCTATGACACAAAATGTCAGTAATATTGCCCTCCATAATTCCTGTTCATACTACATGGATCAACCCTATATGTGTAAAGAGCTCAGCCACCCTATGAGGGAGGAGAAAGTAGAATCTTACACTGAACCTAGAGGAAATTATCACGTGGCAATCCCAAAAGCAGTGCTTTTACAGGAGACATGAAACAACAATAGTCTTTTTTACAAGTGATTTCACAGCTGGTACTCTATGGAGTTTTTGTCTTACTTCCCCCTGATTCTCATCACTGTGATCAGAGCTACTACTTTCATAAGACTGGCAGTAGTAGTTAGCCTCATCATCAAACTTCAGATCAGTGATTGTCAGCAAGACTGAGTTGGAGGAGCTGTCAATGGAACCAGAGAACCGATCAGGAATCCCAGATGGTCTTTTATTGTGAGCCTAGATCGCATTGGTGGGTGGACTTCTAACATGCTGCTGGTATCAGTGCACATAGTTGCTTTCAATGTTACCACTGCTGCACTTGCAGGAGATGGTGACTGTGCTCCCAAGAGACCCAGACACAGAGCTTGTCTGATTTAGCACAAACTGGGTATATGACCCTGTAAAAGGAAGACAATAAAAATTGGTAAAGAGAAGGAAATATTATTCACAAGGAAGAATCTAAGCCAAACATTCCAGACAACATTTACTCTCCAAGAATTCTCTAAGTTCACTGACCTGTTAGATGATTAAGGAAGATGAGGAGTAATGGTGTCCAAGTCATGGTGAAGACAACCAGATTCTGTGTTTAATTGACTGACTAGAGCTGGGTGCCCCTTTTTATCTGGCTCAGTGTTTCTATATGCAGTCCTGCTTCATGCAAATACCCCTCTTCCTTGGGATGTACAGGCCCCTCCTTTTACTTCAGATTAGGAGTTTTGAGAAGTGGAGAGAGTACACATGCAGAACATGTGAGCTCCACCAAGTGGCAGGATAGAAAAACCTGAAAGTGAAGGGAAAATACCAGGAATTTGAAAAACATCATTCCTAATGCAAACATGTTCTTTCATCAGGTGAGCGACTTTAGGTCCCCTCCCACTGCAAACTGTGAGATAATTTGGGAAGTCACATATCCCTATCTGGACTCTGAGTGGAAAGTAAATTATCCATGAATATGATCCTGTATGTGGCAAATGAGGCAGTGGGTAGAGCACTTTCATTTGCATAGAGAATCATTGGTGTGAGAAGCACATTTTTTTTAAAACACAGGTTATTGTAATAGTGGTCATTTCTATGTAAGAATTTATTAGTGTATTGGAGTTAAGAGTGGATTTCAGCAGTGCTTGCTGTAAGTGTGTTTTTTGTTCCTGTAGAGGAAGTAATTTCATTCCTAGCAACCATGTCAGACAAGTCACATCATCCTGTAATTCCAGCACTAAGAGATCAGATGCTCCTTCTGGCCTCCTCAGGTACCCAGACACACTTGTTACCACAGAGCAAGAGTGAATACATGGTCAATAAAACAGTACATTACCATCTACTGTCCACATATTAGGTTCAATGAAACAGTAAATAAATAGGCTGGATTTTTCAATGTGAATTCTAAGATAATACCTAGTCTACTGTTGAAAATTTACACTGTTTTAACAATCTATCAACAGAGAACAACATATAAAATTGTATATGCTGAAACTACATTGTTGGAGATGAAAATATTTAGCTTTTGAGTCTTTTGCTATACTAAATATATACTGTCCATGAAATCATTAATTTTTTGTTGGTAGAAATGTATTTCTCCTGACAATGACTCCACTGGGATAAAAGAGAAAAAATGAAATAGAGTTATGAGTTCATTACTCATGTAGTGAACAGGATCAAGGAAAAAGAAGTAGACCACAGAGGAGCACTTAGGGGATATTCTTTAATGGCATTACTATGTGTGCAAGTGTGGAGAGGGAAGTAGTGGTTCCTGAATCTCTTGGTCTTGCCAACAGCACTGTCCTCTCCAGATCAGCCCATCACTGTCCTCTAATGGTCATAAACACGTCCATGCAAAGTATGGATGGATGAAACTACATTTTCCAGGGAAGGTATTGAAGTAAGGTTAAAGGAACATGCTTAGACAAGAAAATTAAAGACAGGCTTTCTGAGACTGTCATGCCTTCTTCCTAGAAAAATCTTCAAGGGGAAACAGCTAGAAATCACAGATTTACGCATCAACACAGAAGCTGTCAGAGAATAGGGACACTCAGAGGTCCTGTAAATTACCAAAGCCAGAGTCTGTTCAACAGACATTTATTCTTCTTTAATTCTAAATGCATAAAGCTGTCACTGTCCCTTTCTCTACAATTTCATCTGTTTTTCTTAGTCATTAAATTCTTTGTCCATGTCAGAAGATGATCTTGGAAATTCCCTAAACAATTACCTGTCAGCACACTAGTTATACGCCTTGGTTTCTCTCAACTAGGATCAGAGATGACCTCATCTATTAGTCCTCTACATAAATGAAATTCTCAGAAAAGGACTTGTATATAACCTTGTCCATGTGGTACTAAAATCCCCTTTCAAAACTAAATGATAGTCATCCACAACTGCATGATGAAAATTCAGTCACCTCCCACCTCCACTGAAAACATGAAGAGTAGGGGCTTGGGCTCTGATTGAGCAGATTGGAAGGTGATTTCAACCTTGAGAACCAGGGCATAGTCTGGCGCTATCCCTTTTCAGCCAACTGATATCGTAAGTAGGAAGCACTGTGAACTGATTCCTTCTCTACCTCATTAAACACTAAGCATTTCTATTTTTTTTAAAGTATTGAGGTTTTTTTGGGGGGATTCAATACAGTGTTTTATGGAGCCTGGCCTGAAACTAGCTCCTGTAGATCAGGTTGGCCTCAAACTCAAAGATCCTACTGCTCTTGGCTCATGAGTGTTGGGTTTAAATACGTGCACAACCACTGCCTGCCTTGCTTTTGTTTTTTAATATCCTGGGGGATACATTGACTTCTGAGAGTATTTTGAACTTTATATTTTATACAGACATGATAAGATTTGAAATTCAGTAAGGCCATGGGGTGTTAAAGAGTCATCTCTTGCTTCAATAAGAGTCAATAGAAAAGAATGCCTTCACTTCTTCCAAGTGTGTTAAAAGAAACAGTTACTCACCCCTATGTGGGTAAAATGTCAAGAGGATGCTCTGGTAAAATGCAGAGGAATACCAAAAGATCTGGAGATGGCCCAGTGTATCTTTTTCTGTACACAATGGGACTCTAGTCTGCCAGACTCCACTACACAGTTTCCTTAACCACTTGGCATTGCTCAGATTCATAGGTCTTTCTAAAGGAATACAGGATATTTTTTTTCTTTACCCTGCTTAAGTTAAACAAGTCTCCACTGCTCTGAGCAGATTCTGGCATGCGTTGAGAAAAAGATGGACCACTTTTTTCTAGGTGGATCATAAGAAACTGTTGCAGATTTCTGATTTCACTAAGTACTTCCTCCAAATGTTTTCTACAAAGGAAGTGCAGTCAGGACAGGTAGACAGGGCTGCATTAAATGCAGCAGAAACCACTCACTACTGTGCAGCAGGAGAAAAAGGAACAACTGAGCTCTCAGACTCTGAAGTCAGAGAGTCAATGAGATAAACAATGCATGATGTGGAGAGTGGAGTCAGAGTAATATAGATGCCCAAGCACTGTGTAGCTGAGAAAAGCATGAGTGAATTCCACACACTGAAGACTTAGCTGTAATGAATGAATTTGTGACCTGGTTCTTCCCTATTGGGTTAGAAAGTGTGTGATTCTAACTGACTATTTGAAGTTTCTGCAAAGGATTATTACTGAATTAGTAATTGAAATAGATCTCAGAATCAGGCATGCTAATGTTTGCTTCTGGGCTTCCAATGGCATACCATTGGCCCTTTGTACATTAAGATAATGTGCTGGAACCTACCGGACTTTTTCTGAAACATGCTCTGTCTCCATCTCTATGAACTTGTATGAATTACTGATAACTGGAAATATCTCCACCATAGTTTTGAAATCATGTGATTCTGGAATGGCACAGTATCTGCACTGCATGTGCTCCGTAAATTTGGCAAATGGGACTTCTATTACCACTCCCAGCTTGTGTTGTTTATGCTAAATTAAACTCTTCAAGGTCTGGTGGCATCATAAATATCTTGGAATGAAAATGGAACTGTGGACAATCTGGGCCTGAATCTATGAACCAGGGACAAAATAGCAATATGATCGTATATTAAATAGTAAAAGAGGAAATAGGGAGATGACAAGGGTCTGAGCCATGCTTAATACATAGAAATTTCAATACTTACACTGCCTTTTCCACGACAGACCAGACTGAAATAGCTGCTCCCTGTTGAAAGACTAAATATCCAGACTTAATCAAAGGAAATTAAAGGGTGAGGATAGGAAATGGGTAATCCTTCTCCAAGATTTCAAACTCTCCTTCTTAATCTTAAACTCATTGCAGATGGTAAAACCTGACTCAAAGATTCCTCACTATCAAATATCCAAGTTAGTATCTGTTTAACAAACTTCTACCTTTAGATTTCTATTCTGTTCAGGGCTTCTAATTTCTCTTTCTCTGTGGCTAGGAATATGTCTTTCCCAGGCACTCAATTCTTTGTTAGTTACTTGGAATGAACTAGACAATCCTGTTGAAAGCTATCAAAGGCCTGTCAAAGGAATGTCAACCAGAAAGAAAATTCTAGAGATTTTGCTCTGTGACTAGATATCTAGATGATTCAGTGCTACCCAAAATTCGGATTTCTTCTGTCTTGTGCCTGTAGATCTATGAAAAATAGATCTATGAAAAATAGATCAATGAAAAATCATTGATTTTTCATCAAACTGATTATCTCTTAATACATTTGATAGAGCTGTCCAGTTGGGGTTTTGTGTCCTACATTTATGGCAATTTCATTTAGATCACTTTCACATACGTGAAAAAATTAGGGAGTATCTACTAATGAATTAGCTTCCTATAGGACTGCTCCAATGGACCTTGATTCAAGCTCCTCCATACCCATAGTCCCTTTTTCTGTCTACTCTTCCTTCTCCATTCCTCCTGCTTAATTGTATCAATCTAGTTCCCATCACTAACATCCACCTGTGACTATACATTGTATTTTCCATTCCTTGTAAGATCCTTCTCCTCATGTTATTTAATCTCTGATTTTATGTATTTTAGCTTACTTATCAATGAATTAACACCCATGACCCACCACATATAAGTAATTATATCACAAATATCAAAAATTTATCTTATTGGGTCTGGATTACCCCTCCGAGATTGATTTTTCTCAGTTCATCCATTTACCTGAGAATTTCAACATATCTTTTTTTTAAATGGCATATTCTATTGTATAAAAGCATTATATTTTATTTTTACTTTTGTTACCTGCTTGGTAAACTGCTTCTGATTTATGTCTATTAAGAATAGAATATTGCTAGGCGATGATGGTGCACAACTTTAATCCCAGCACTTAGGAGGCAGAGGCAGAGGGATCTCTATGAGTTTGATGCCAGCCTGGTCTAGAGGAGCTAGTTCTAGGGCAGGCTATAACAGCTGCAGATAAACCTGTGTTGAAAAAAAATAATAGAGCATCAGTGAATATGGTTGAACAAGTGTCTCTGTTGTAAGATATAGTGTTAATTTATGAGCAAAAGTTGTTTAGGCAGCTCTTGAAATAGGTTGATGATCATCTTTATGAGGAACTGCCACACGAATTTCAATAGTGGTCATAGAAGTTAGCATGCCTTCAATCAGAAAATAGGTATTTTCCTCACTCAGTTCCTCACCAGGATG